TATAGGATAACTGGGTGAGTCGGGACTTAAAAAATTAGACATTAGATAGTATATTGCTAAATAATGGTGTTTTTTTTTATAAAAAACAAATCTAAATAAAGTCACAGCATGATTGCTGAATTTTAAAAAAATAAGCTATCTGTAGATTATTTTATTAAGTATTATTCTTAAGTATATATTAGTTAGTAAGAATACAATTAGTTATATGTATAACTTTAGTTATTGTCTATTTAAAAGCTTTGCTATTTAGATTATTTACTAATTACTATATCTAATATCTGTTTATAGATACTCTATTTTAATTCTCTAGTATTTCTATGCAATCTAATTTTAACTTAATATTTAATCTATGCTAATCCTATACTGCTTTATTTGAGGATTATTCAAATTAACTTATACCTCAAATTATACTAGTAGGCAAAGTATTATCTCAAAATACCCTGTTAATTCTATTCAAAAGAAAGCTTGTAAATGATTTCAACTATGTTATACTATATTCTAATTAAGCTAACATATATCCTTATAGATATTTATACAAATCTAGTTTTTTTTTGTAGCTTTTCATCTGATTAGTTTTCTGTATTTCTGAATATTTCATAAAATAGATCTTTTCAATTTAGTTAGCTACCAAACCAAGTTAGTATTGCTATTTGTATAATATACTTACTCATATCTACTCAATTATATTCTTCATTTAAACTTTTTTTTCAGATCAAGTGTTAACTAATATAACTGTTGAAATCTGTACTACTTTATTTAACTCAGGATTTATATTATACAGATTTTCTATTTATAGATTCTATCAAGTTTTATTCTTGTAATATTATGTTATACTAAATATTCTGTTATATTTCTAATATCTAATTAAAATTAGTATAATATGATTTATAGAATTACAATTTCCAGAAATGAACAGGGTTTACTATAAGTTAAATACAAAGGTCTGAGTAATTATTCAAATTCATCAATAGTAGAATTTGAACTCTTGAACCTCTTGCATGATAGTTTAGCAATCTAACTACTATACTAAGATCACCAAACCCTACAGATTATATTAAATTTTTAATTAAAATAAATTTATTTTCTACTTCACTTTTCGAAAAATAGCTTAATAAAATAATTTTAAATTTTCAAAATAGAGCTTATAACAAAAACTATTAAAACTTTTAAAATATACTATTAATTAAAATTATTAAGAATAACTTATTATAATAATTTTGTGAAATTTAAAAAAATTAATTAACTTTTTCAAAATAAATTAAGCTAATATAAAACTAATATTGTTTTAATTAAAGCTAAATAAATTTTCAAACTTTTTACTTTATATAAAAAAGAAAAATTATATTTACTAAATATATTATATTAAATTATTTATATTGCTTAGCTAATAACAATTTTTTATTCTTTTTAAAGTATTAAAAAGTTAAAAAATTCAGTAAATCTTATCTAAACTATAGTAAAAAAAATTAAAATTTTGTACTTAAAGAAGGTTTGCATTTATGAAAAATAAAATACATTAAATTCTTATAAGTTGAAACCAAACTATATCATATATTTAGAAGATATGTACTTAGAAAGGTGTGACTATAGAAATATTATCAAATAATTATAAAATAATTATAATTATATATAATAACAGATTATAATAAAATCAGATCATAAGTCTTAAAAAAAAAAAAAAAAAATTAGATAATAAAATTTATTTTATTTTATATCTGATTTTTAAAATTTATTGAAACCTTGTTTGTTGGTTTTTTTTTTTTTTTTATAATTTAGTTAGGGTTTAATTATTAGAAAAAGAGTATAGGTAGATTTTGGTAAAGCTTATATGTTTAAAAACCTCTAAATTTCACAATAATTTGATTTACTTTGCAGCTTTTATTAACCGAATTAGCCGGTTAAGCATAATTTATTCCGGGATAGTGTCAAAATATCGGTTTCCGAGTTGTCGGACAAACGGGTACAATTTCTAGGTTAAATAACATTAAGATATCTAAAAAATTTTCAACTTTGAATAAAGATATCTTAATAGCTACTTAACCAAATGCAATGAATTTAAATTATAAAATCAAAATAAAAAATTCATTTTTAAAAAAAGTTTAAAATCTAAAGAAATATAGCAAATTTGAGAGATATAAATATCAGCCGCCTTTAAATATTAATAAATTTATTTCTTATTAATTAATTAATAATAAAATAAATAAAATAAAATTTCAAAATAATTTTTTGCATTAGTAAAAAAAGCCATATAATTGTTTTTTTTTGGTTAGTTTATCAAGCAAAATTAGAACTAAACTAAACAAAATAAATATTCTGCAAATTATTAAATTTAAAGCCACAATGCTTGCTTAACCTTAAACCCAACTCTTGTCATAATTCCTGTATTTTTATTTGCTTCGGCAAATCTAGAAATATTTTTAAATTAATTATGAAAAATATGAATTAATATAATATAAACCATAATTAAATCAAATATATTTATTTACCCTATAATTGGCTTCTCAACGACAAATCCATCTTCAGCGTTACCAATATCCCTACATGCTTTAACAAGCTCTTCAACAACTTCATTTACGACTTGCATACTCGTAACTCTTTCGTTCAGCTTTTCGACTGTTCTATTTTCATTGGTTCCCTCACCGATATTCCTGGCCTTAACATCTTTATTTTTTAAACTATTAGAAATAGCTCCTCCAGCGCCACCATCAAATTTCGTTGCTTCACCAACTAAATTACTTCGGAATGCTTTAAACGCAATAAACCTTTTATCTTCATCGTCATTGTTAAAACCAATTTGTGTTTTGCTATTAGTACGAATAATACCAGTTCCAGTATCATTTATTTTTTTTATCGGAATTGAAGCTTTTTGAATATCACTAGGGTTATTGTTATTTCTCATGCTACCGCTATTTATTCGACTTGATTCACCTGATGCTCGGTAGTATATAACAAACCCATAATTATCTTCTGGCGTAACGCATGAAGGATATAACGTTGATAATATATATTCTCCTAATCGATGTTAAATGATTAATTATAGAATTTATGACTCAAACATAAAATAATTGTATATAAATGGCCTCAAAATAATATAAAGCTAAGCAAAAAAAAAGAAAAATCTTACCTTTCTCAATGCAAATAATCTCACCCAACCCAATTCTCTTAAATTGCATAACTTTCTCAAGGCGATAATGAAATGTACATACGTACAATGCTTTCTTGGTTAATAGCAATACTTTTTCCTCGTATGATTTACTCCGCCTAATCATATACAATTAAATAGTTATACAGTAATAATAAGTAAAAGCAGATAAATCTTTATTAAAAACAAAAAACGCAAATTTAACAAATATATACTTACAGTGTGTTTGGCTCATTTGGTGACAAGAAAGTCCATCCGTTAACTTTCTCTTCATTATCAACAATAACAATTGAACTACTAATATCAACTAGAAAGTCGAGAAATTTTGCAATAAATATTATTTTAGGTCATTACATTTAATAATCGTATTTTCGGTTCGTTTGAGACTTACTAGCATTAGCTCTAACTTTTGCCCACCTTTCAGCATCACCGGGTTGTGATGCCTCAAACTTTTGTTGCAACTCCTGAAATACTTCCAATGAATGATGCCCAAGAAGATAATCAATTGTTGCCTACATAAAAATATTCATAAACAAAAAAGTAATGAGGCACTAATATAATAGAAAAAATAAATACTACCTGTCTAAAAAAGTCTTTAAAAGTATTTTGAAACATTCTAGCTAATGAATTCGATGCATCGTTAACGACTCCTTGAAGATTTCGTTTTCCTATTGTGAAAATAATTAAAATATAAGTACATAAGAAACATAAAATAGATTCGAAAGATAAAACGATTAGAAATAACATAATAAGTTGCCTCACCAGTTCTGTAAAAATCGTGCAATTTATTTTAAAAAATAAAGCGAAAGAAAAAAAAAAAGAAGCCAATACCAATGTACCTTGTAAAATCACCCTTCAGAGCACTAGTTCCAGCATATTCCCTACTTATAGAATCACCATTATTTGCCCAAACTAATAGTATAACATTAAAAAGAATAGTAAAATAATATAATTATTATACATAATAGTAATAAAATAAAATATAATATGTAATAATTAGGTGCTCACCATCGTTAAAAACATTTTCAAATTCCTCATAGTGTGATATACCGCCATCTATAAATTCTGAAATACCAAGTCTGAGAAGTTGTAGATTTAAAACTTCTCTTGCTAGTGCGCTCTGTAAAAAAAAAACATAGTAGAGTCAACAAACGTGTAACTAAAAACTACCAATTTACCTGAATAAAAATTGGATTCTATATAAATACCTACCTGTACAACATTTGTCCTATCCAAACAATCCATACAATTCTAATCACCAAGTCAGAAAATTCTCCATGAAATTCACTGCAGCTAACTCTCAAAACAAACAAAACAAAAATCAAAATAATAATTTTGCATTGATAACAAACCGTACGAAATATTCCCACTTGCTTACAATGAACATAATTATTGCCAGCTTGCCAAAAATAGCTATATAAAAGTTTTTAAAAATTAGCATCTGTTAATAAATTGATAATAAAAAAATAACGAAATATCGGATTACCCCATAGAATTAAAATTCTTAGCCAGTGTAGACACCAATTTGGAAATGTTTTCATATTTCATTCCTCTACATTCTTTATGAAAATCAAATTCGACATACCTGTCCAATAATAAAATGATTTAACTCGAATAACACTCGAAAATTTTAACATGTATAAAATTACAATACAAACTCAATATTCTTATTTCCTGAATTATGAATTGTTTCACGATAAGCAGCACCAACGATTGCTTCTCTTCCACTGGACTCAACCAAGTTTATACAATTAGTATATCCATATGTATTTAATAACATATCGAAATGCTTTGAAAATGCTGCTGTATTTTCTTTTGCTGATCTTTCAAGAATTGGTTTTGGTTTTAGACTATATGGAGATTGTGACCAAAATAATGGAACTATAAATAAATGATTTCATTATCAGGAAAGGATAATGATAATTAATAAGAAATAATTCAACTTTAATTTGAATATAATTACTTGAGCCACGGACTTGTAAAAATGAAACATCATGATTTGAACCATCAATCTATAAATTTAGTGTTATTATAGGAGTAATACCAATTCGTAACGATACTTCAAATTAACAATGTCATACCGTAATTGACAAGATTTGCTCAGTTTCAACATAATTCGCCACATCCCCTTGTTCATTGATGCCTCTACGTTGATATCTCAACCCTTCAAAACACAAGATGATTAAGAATAAAGTTTTTGATTTATAAACGTTTCATATTCGCTTAAACAATATAAAGCAAATTTAGATTAACCTGCTCTTTCTCGGCTTCTTCGGGAAATGATTATAAAATCGAATACACGATCCTCGATCTCGCAATGTTCCGATTGCACATAGCCTTGCATTATAGGTAATATCCAAGCATGTAACTAAGAATTCATTTTTATGCGTAAATCAATGTAAAAAAATTTTTTTTTTTTTTTTTGATATCCCAATATTTTATTATTCCCAATATTACCTCGAGTTCTATAAAACTCTTAAGCATAAATTCATTCCACCAAAATTTTTCATTAGTTTGTTTCCACAGCGGTTGATCTTTTGATAGGCCTCGCTCGTGTTTTTGTTGCAGAGAAGTCGTGATATCTATTTTAAATGAAATTTAATATAAAGCTAAACACCTTAAACGTATGCTTAACAATAATCGAAATATTACCAAGTTCATAAGAGTAGAAAAATGCATCAGAGCGAAACAGTGATACGATTTCCTTCGAAATTCTTGCATCCATCGCCTACAAACCAATTACATTTGTACTCTGAATAAGTA